AGTTTTCTGAGATCGGGCGTTTTCGAACTGGCTGCCGAGATAGCTCGATCTTCCACTCAGCCATCGATATGTATCTGTGGACTTTTAACAAAACTTCTCTCGAGTAATAGGCGGCATACACGGTGCGCCTGACTCCTCAGCCATTTTTGTACGTGTTGACTCGCCTTTCGACAACACACAGTTTAAGTCATGCCGGAGTCATATCGTTGTATATATGAGACATTGTTTTTCATTATCGGACACCAAATTTGATGTCACACTTTCGATTGGCTTCAAATTTTTTTATGGGTTCTATACATGAAATAAGCTAAAACGAGTTCGAGGAATTTTTTTCGGTTTCGTGATTCTGACAAATCATGTACTTCTTCAAATCGTTATATCACGAGTTCTGCCCATCATAGAGACTTCATCTTTACGTCGTTTTAAAGCTAAAGAAACAGGCTTAACAGGCGTTTCTATATATAAGCTGGTCCTAAAACTAACTTAGATATTAACAGTTAAACTTTTTGAAGTTGATTTGCATAGTGAAGACCAGTGAATTAATAATAATAATAATAGATTGGCGCTTACACATATGTTAGTGTTTGGCCGAGCTTCTCCTCCGACTTGTGGCATGCGCCTTGATGTTGTCACACAAAGCGGAGAGACCTACAGTTTTACGCCGACTCCGAACTGCGATTGTATTTTTATGAGAAGCTGTTTTTCATAGCAGAAATACACTCGGAGGTTTGCCATTGCCTGCCGAGGGACGACCGCTGTTAAGAAAAAACCTGTTTCTATATTTTTTTCGATGTTGCTTTGACCAGGGCTTGAACCCAGGTGCTGATGAGTGAAAGCGCGAACTGCTTACCACTACACCACAGCTGCCGACCAGTAAACTAGGGATTTATAATTATACCATCGTAATCTTCGTTTAATTATCTATAGAGACGTAGTTCAAAAAAATGTAATTTGTTTTCGAAAACTTATGTTGGATATATTTAGTAAGGTGTTAAACATCGGGTTTTTTGCAAGAATTTAAATTATATTGCAGATTCCGATAGAATACCTATAATAATCTTAATCTTTTTTTACGTGAATATTTATAAAAGTATAGTAAAACATATTATAATTGCAATAGCGAAAAGTGAAAATCTTTAAAAGATTATTTTATAGGCAAATTTTGAGTCGTTCAAAACGAAAACAATACCCTTCTTTTTTTGTTTTTTGGTACTTTTCGAAGTTATATGTCAAAAATCGACGACATGAATCGACGTAAATGACGAGTTACAAAGTACCCTTTACAAAAATATTCAATTTGTGCAGACTGTAATGATATATCTTCTTTATCGAATTTTAAAATAAGGAAAAAAAAAATCAAATGAAACTGCGTATTTGATTGAAAATCTCACTTTTTTCGACTTTGACGACAAAATGCAAATGGTATGGATAATTTTCATTGAAGTCGCCACAAGTTATATATTTTGGTAAGAGGCACATCCATACCCTTCGAGCTATAAGTCGCTTACGTTGATTGGGAGATTTTTTCATGAGATATGGAAGAAAAGCTACGAAAAGTACCAAAAAACACTTTTTAAAAAAAATCCATCCGTTGTCCGATAATTTTAAAATAACGATAAAATGCGGGACAAATGCAGGACACTTGGAAAAAATCAGTACATTTTGAGGTTTATCAGGTTTGAAAAACTACGCAGGACCGACAATTGAAAAACAGTACGGTCCTGCAAAAAACAGAACGGATGGTCACCGTACGTATAAGTCGTTTTCTCTTCAAAGCAGTAATTCATTGAAATTCATTCATAGTTCAATGTGCGATCTTAATAAAATATAATATAAACCTCATGCCCAACTAGTCAGCCAACTATCTTTTTTCCATGCAATCAACTGGTATTTTTAACATGGGGATGTCCTACGAGATGGCAATTGTCAGATTTCGGTCAGAAATATACCAGTCTCATACTAGTTCCAAATAGACAGAAATTTACTAGTCTAATTACGGGCCAAAACTACTACTTTGGGAGTGAAAAAATAAAATGAATTCATGAATATACATACAATAAAAAACTTTTAACTACACTTTAATATATTACACATTTCTATGTAGCAGCCATAGGTTTGCCAATAATTAGTGTTAAATTTTTTGAGTATTAATTAAAAGCAAAAATAAACACAAAGATATTTCAAACTTTCGAATATAAATTTAAATAAATTTTTCATAAAATGTTATTAAAAGGTTTCAGGTACAATAAATACTATATTTCTATCTTTTTTAATAATATTGAATATGCCAAAGAAAACATTTTAGTTAAAAATAAAATGAATACTTTAGATCATTTTAGTATTTTTTCCTGGCTAGTTCGGCATTTCATTGCAGGGTTGTTGCAAAAAGACAGTAAAGCCTCTTTGCTCCACGTAGGACGTACATATGTATGTATGTAACTTTTGTTTTCCTAGAAATGGATAATTTTGAGTTAATACACTTTTGAAGAACGTGTGCGATATATATTTATTATTTTTTACAATATTATATTTATAAATTTAGTGGCTGATTTGATTAGGAAAATAAAAAAATCTCAGTTATCCGTATAATTGAAATAACCTAGCGAGAAAAATCACAACTGTATGATGTAATTTACGATTCGTTTTCGAGTACATTTTCGCTTGAAATTGTCGAGCGCCTATGAACAGTCGTAAACGGATCGAAAAGGCATTCTTATGCGAATATTATATATTATAAAATATTATGGTTCAAGAAAAATTTTCAACAGAATGAAAATATTTTCTTGTGCTGACAAATTACTACAAGGCTCCGTCTTTCACTTTTTTTTTTGTTTTATCGTTTACGAGCCTTTCTCTAACTTTTCGCCGATCGAGAATCCCTCGTAATATATAATGTTCGTAAAATGTACGTTTTCTTGCTGGCTGGGAAGTAGAAAAGTACATGTACAATGTACATACATATATACATACTACATACATATGTATACAAAAAATGTGTTATTGGCAATAAACATGAAATGAAAGTTTTATTTTGCGTAAACGATCGTTTATTTGTTTACTAGATAAACATGTGTTCGTTCGTGGGTTGAAAAGCGCTAAAGAAAGATAAGCACATACATTAAATGGGGAATTCGAAAAGGATCGAAATGCACTGCATGCTTTGGAAATTTGTTGGCTATCATCAAGCCAAAAAAAAATAATAATTTCGCACATCTATTTACATAATTTAATGCACCATAAGCGAAATTACATCGGACGTGTATGGACTTAAGATTCTTGACCGAGCACTGTGTAGGCCAGGAGTGGGCAAGCATGAGGAATAGAACAGGGAGTTACGCAAAGGATGTAGCTATCGCCTACATTGTTTGCCGTGAATATACATATATATCTCTCCACATCAAGGAATCCATTTTCAGTATATGAAAAGTTTATTACATGTTCTTTTTATATAAAAAAAATACAAACAATCAAAAGTTTTACCTTTGAAGGATAGTTTAAATGTCAGAGAAACTTTCGATTCAATGACCTTCGAAATTATTAAAAAAAAGTAAAACTTTTGATTTTTTTTTTTTGTATGTTGTAGGGCCAAAAATATTTGTTGGTCATTTTTTAAAATGTTCACTGCATACTGTTTCAGGTTAAAAACAGGAAGAAAATTGAAAACGCCAAGGTAAAGGTAATTTTTATCCAATAAAAATAATTTCTCCTCATTTGAGTAGTCCCCTTGCAAAGTGCGCTATGTAAAACTTTTTCGATTTTTAGTTTTTGATGGGTAACGCACCAGTATGTAAAGTAGTTTAATGTCCACTAACAACACAGTGCAAAATCTTTCTATATACTGAAAAAATACCATCAATTGTTAACTATTCTTGCAAAAGTCGCTATCATACTTATTTGTAAACTTTCAAAAGTCTCCAACTTACAATTAAAAATTACAACTTCTTTTTATTATTTTAATAGTTCTCAACAGATGAATTAAATGTAGTCATTTAGGAAGAGGTTACTACTGAAATGGAGATGATTAAGGCATATTTAAATTTATGATGTTTCCTCTTTTACATGGAATGATCCTTAAATTTGTTTCGCTAGCTGTTTTCGTTCTCGAGCTGCGCCTATAAACTACGCAACAGGTAACTTACATGCATCGACGATTTTCACAGCCTCATTAAAAAACTATATATCCGGGGGACTGAATTGAGTTTTCATTGCATAATAATTATAAGAACTCGTGATTGGTGTAACTCCGCCAAAAGGACTAAAAGTTAATAGCTTTTCCGAGCTTGGGGAGTTCTAAGATATTTTCCGTATTGAAAATATCGATGGTCAGAGTAGGGCTTCTGATTCGAGTTTCGGCATTTCTTAACTTGTTTAGAAAACAAGTCGGAAGCCAGGGTTATAAACAAAACGTCTTCCTTTTTTTGTTATACATACAGAGGGTAAATTCTCGTTCTGCGTTATGGTGAAGTGATAAAAATAACTAATTTCGATGTGAATTTTTGACTTTTAAACTCACTTCACGATTACGCAGAATGGCCCACAGGCCTGCTCTAAACCTAAATTCATAATACTGAAGTTTAGTTATGGGTCACCTCTATTATTAGTGTCGGTGCTGCCCTACAATATGTTGTAGGCGTTTGCGTCAAACGAGACAACCAGTTGCTGGTTCTCGGTGGCTGCCTCCCCCACCAGCGCTCGATCCCCATCTAACAGGGTGTCCTTTTCATGGGACATGTAAGTTGGGGCTGCCCAGAAGCTAGGGAGCAAGAAGATATTTGTTTAATCCGCCGCCTAAACGCAATACAGCGGCCGTGCGCGCATCCTTTGGCCGTAGCTGTGTGGAGTCGAAGCGACTCCGAAAATTATTACCGAGTGCGCACGGCCTAACACCTAAATACATAAAAAAATATTCCGACGAATTGATAAACTCCTTCCTTTTTTGTTATTGTGTAAATTTAAAAGCCTCTTTTTTAAATAAATATTCAAATTTCTTACAGGATTTTTCACCGTTAATGATTAAACGCGGCACGTGAACGAAAGAGAAGAGCGCAATTGACAACTCAAAGCAATGCACAGTGACAGTTCATTGTGAGAAGGGCTATGTAATTCGCCACACGTCTATTCCAATCACTCTACAGCCGACATAGATACGACAGGACTGCAACAACGCATAACACTTGACGTTTTGACCCGACGGGGGCAACATAAACAATCGCTGTTACAAAGTTCACGTGTCGAGGCAGCTTTTATAAAGTAAAAAGCCACAGTTAAGCGCAGTAAATCCGCAAAACAAAACGCACATTCTGTGGGTGCGCAGGCCACAAAATATAAAAGGAAAGGCGTTGTTGGTTGAACAAAAAAGGTTGAAAACACACAAATGAAGAACAAAAATGGAGAGAACTTAAACAAGTATATAGCTCGGTGGAAAATATGTAAATATTAGTGAAAGGGCATTTATATAATTGTATAAGTATATGAATTAAAGTTGAAAGTGAGATAATATGCTAAATAAAGAAGCAGAACGTGATTGCGAATGACAGGATAATAAAGGAAATTTCGCGCAGCGCATTAAATTGAATAATATTATTATGATTACGGTTGTCAACAACGGCAGCAACGAAAAGACCAACCGGAATCAATAAAAAGTACAACGAAACCGACAACGGTAAAGGCATTAGAAAGGAGCAAACACAAACAGAGACATCAAGCTGAGCAAGACTAAGACATAATTGAAATTGAAGTGGGTCTACACGGGCGACGACAGTGAAGTACAGGGATTGACAAGGCAGCCGACCAAAGACAGCACCAAAGGAAGTGAGAGAGTACTGTAAGGCAAGATGCAAAAGGTTCGTATACTTTTTGTGAATCATAAATAAATAAATAAATTAGCGACACTGCAGGATATTAGAAAACCGATTGAAAATCAGAGAGTGTGTAAATGTGTATTTTATGTGGTTGTAAGAACAATTTCTGGTTTTTCTTTTTTCGAAGCTACCAATGACAATATTGGCCAGCACATGGCTATTATGGCACGCAGCAGCCATGGCAGGACACATAAATAAACGTAGCTACTCTGATCAAAGCGTGCATGGCTATCAGGCGGAGGTGAGTGTTGTGTCGAATAACTAAGTAAACAGATACATACTTGCATGCATATGTATGTATGCACATAAGTATGTATGTATGTATCCAATTTACATATACATAATGCTTAGATATTTACTTAGTATTTATTTGTAATTAAAATTCAATTAGCGCACCTGCTGGTGGAATGAGGTGTGCAAAGAAGAATTTCAAAATCTCTTTCGCTGCAAGTGTCCACAATTCTCATACTGCCGGTAAGCGGGTTGAAAACAAAAAATTTAAATAAAATTACTGCGAAACAAAAATAAATTATATGCCCTTGTAGCTCACCGGGACGCTATTATAATGCGTATTGTTCAATGACTGACACCGGTTACATATGGACACAGCCAACATGGGACTGGGTACCATGAACATCTTCAAACGCCGGTTTACTGCCTACATAGTATATAATAAATAAATATATATATATTTAAGTGCTAAGCACACCTACACATATAAGTACATATGCATGAATAGTTACATATGTCTGTAGGTCCTAAAATAATCGGAAAAAGAACAATGGTAGGTAGTCATCAAAAAATACATATATATGCATACGTATTTATGTATATACATAAAGTGCTTAAAGCACATATCTGCGTTAAAATGGTGCTTAAAATACCGACACATACACAAATATAAGACTCATATGTATGTATAGTATGTATTATACAAATATGTATACAAAACACATTATACCCCTATATGGTATATACACATATATGTATTTCATTTGGTTGTATTATTTACTAACCTCTTCTTCAAAGTATACTTGAACTTTTGCTCTTCAGTTTCTTTATTATACTTATCTCCTTGCACTATTCAAATTTAAAAACATAGTTGCAAAAGGCATTAACAATAATATACTTTATACATACTTACTCTAAAAAAATATATGTATGTACACTAGGGCGATCCTTAAATGTAGGGAGCAAATTTTTACATAAGATTTTCTAAGCCTCAACCCCTACGTCGATGCAACTACAATCGAAGAAATCACATATCAATTTTGGTCCCGATTGGAGATGATACTTTAGTAGTATCGATTTTGGGCATTTATTGAAAAAAATATTTTTAATTTTTTGAATCTCCATAGAGGCATCTGGCTTTTGACCACTTTGCGACACGCCGTAACCGCCTCCAATCGGGACTATGGTGGTACCGATTTTGGGAATCAAATTCAAAAAATAATCATTTTTATTTTTTGAGTCTCTATAGAGGAATCTGAACTTTGGCCCCTGCGTGGCACGCATTAACCGTCTCCAATCGGGACCAAAATTTATATGTGATATCTGCGGCCGTGGTATTACCGATTGAGTGGGTGAGATTGACAAAAATTGTTAATTTCATTCTTTTAAGAACCACCCTAATGTAAAATGTTACTCATACGCCAAGGCGCGCCATTTACAAGTAAACCCGAGTACGGCCATAAAATTTTTCCCCCTATTTTTCATAAAAATTAAAATATCTTGGGAAAATTACCTGATATGGAAAAGCAGATTCCTAATCCACGACTCAATATTAAGTTTATGTGTTTCGGCGTTTTTTTGTGTCAGTTCAAAACTTGCGATTTTACCTACACTGAAATTTTTTGAATGTTTATAATTCAATGCGGATTAATATGCTTTTGTTATACAATGAGCTTGAGTTTTAATAAAAATAACAAACATTAAATAAATAAAAAAATATGACGACGCTTAAAACGTCTTCTGAACCCGCTTCCTATATATGTACAGACATACATAAGTAAGAATGTATTTCGGGCGCTACATCCCGAAGCGTCAACCTCCTCCCCTTTACGCATCAAATCACTTATAAAGGAGGTTACAACCAACTGGGAAAGAGTAAAGGATCTAAACGTTTTTGTATTTGCAGGGCGATGTACCGAAATGCTCCCGAAAAATTCCTGCTGTTCGCCGTTTGCTCAGAAGGTACAGGTGAGAATATTCTCTGATTATAATATGGTAATTACCATATCTGACTCGAACTAGGTCGTAACTAGTGTAAAACTGTATGTAGATGTTGGCCTCTCGCCACACATTCCAAATCACGCAAATATGAGTTCCAAAGTACTTCTAAGCGGGAATGAGACACCGAAAGAACTAACGAGCTGCGGATCTGCACTAAATGTGTCCCACGCAATGGATAAGGGTGTCTCGCTTAGGAAAATTAAAAACAGAATTATTAAAATTTACCACTTGAAAGCTTATATGACTCTAGGTTTTTTTTCGGATAAGCAAAGAAAATGTTTGTTTCACTAAAAAAAAAAAACTGAGTGCGCGTAGTCATACGCGTGAAAAAATTGAAACCTACTACAAAAAGTCTATAATGGAGGAAGTTAGCAATAAATTGTTTAATATACTATACATACATATGGGTGATTCCATACAAAATTTACAGCTCAATATTTTTTTTTTACATTCTTTATCGAAAAAAGAAGACACCTATTTTTTACTTCATCATGATATTCGAAAATCTCTAAAAAACAAATATCCGAAATTTTGAACTCACAAAGAAGCATTTTTTTTAATTGTTTGCAGTTAATAGAAAAAATCAGTCAAGTAATCCAAATATGCGTAAATACCTCGTCTTTGCGTTGGAGTGTGAGATAGATTTAAATTAATAATGTTTTGCATTTTTGTATTGGGAAATTGATGAAACCAAATTTTTCTGAAAGTTTGGATTATATATATATATACTACGATGTAAATCCCCTTCGATTAGGGTAAAAACCGAACTAAACATGTCTTTGTAAATATATATATCATTTTTCACTTTTTTAATTTTTTTTTTAATTTTTCATGTGGTCCCTAGGCTGGCGCCTATGTAGCTTGTGCTTAAATCCAGCCCCGCATATTTTTTTTTTTTAGATTGGGGCTTTAACATGTGTTAGTGTTTTGGCCAAGCTTCTCCTCCGATTTGTGCTGTGCGCCTTGATGTTGTCACAGTTTTACGCCCACTCCGAACGGCGATTGTATTTTTATGAGAAGCTGTTTTTCATGGCAGAAATGCACTCGGAGGTTTGCCATTGCCTGCCGAGGGACGACCGCTGTTAAGAAAAAACCTTTTTTCCCTATTTTTTTTTTGCGATGTTGCTTTGACCAGGGATTGAACCCAGGCGTTGCGGAGTGGAAGTGCGCACTGCTTACCACTACACCACAGCGGCCGACCAGCCCCGCATATAGTCTTAATTATTATACTTGATTTATTAAATGCTTCCTTATCCTACAAACTGATGTACATACTTGTATAAGCTTTTAATAGCAACCACATGCTTCCAATCTAGTTAACCTTACGCATACATACATACATCATTAGAATTAAGGTTATATTATGTTTGTATGTATGTATATACATATGTAGCTATAAGACCATTAACTTGTTAATTGTTAAACGCAATAGTTAATAAATAAATAAATGAATTTCGGAAGCATACTTTGAAATTTATCTCGAACAAATGGCAATTACTTTGGGGTCAGTAGGCAATTGAAAAGCAGAGCACTCTCTCGTCGAACAAAAGTTACGCTCTACAAATGTCTCGTCATGCCCGTCCATTTTTCCGACGCAGCAGCATGGACGATGTCTTACAAAGATGAGCAGGCTTTGTGGGCATTTGAGAGAACGATTCTACGCAAGATCTATGGCCCTGATCGCGTGGGCGACCTAAGAAGCTGGAATGAGAAACTCTTCGAGCTTTTCAACGAAATTAATATATAGTATGTTCCTTTGAATTTTGGACTAAAACCTGTGGAACTGTCAAACTACAATTTTACTCTCTCAAGTGAGATTAAAAGGAGAGTTAATGCAGAAGTGCATGGAAACGCAAAAACCACTGTTTCCTGTAAAAACGTCAGTCGGTTTGTTTACATGTCATTTGTACAACACTGATTTAGCTGAAATATCACTAAATAATTATTTAAATCTATACATATTCAAACATTTCGTTGTTTACTTCCATTTTCTTACAAATAGAAATAGTGCTTTTTGCGTTCCTATGCACTTCTGCATCTGTTCTCCTTTTACTCTCATTTGAGAGAGTAAAATTGTAGTTTGACAGTTCCACAGGTTTTAGTCCGAAGTTCAAAGGAACCGACTAATAAGGTTCTTTGCTTACACCGCTTTCTGCTTTTGTTTGCACATGCAAATCAGCTGATCGTTTGACACCTTTCATGAACTTACAGGAAAAAAACTCCGAACTAAATCCTGTAACTCCTGACTAGGAACAGTTGCTCAGTTAAGCTTTCAAAAGTGTTCCCACTTACAGGTTTTATGTCAATAGGAACGACTTCCTGTAAGTTCTTACTAAGTCTGTTCCTTTGAACTTCGGACTAAAACCTGTGGAACTGTCAAACTACAATTTTACTCTCTCAAATGTGTTCCCACTTACAGGTTTTATGTCAATAGGAACGACTTCCTGTAAGTTCTTACTAAGTCTGTTCCTTTGAACTTCGGACTAAAATCTGTGGAACTGTCAGACTACAATTTAACTCTCTCAAGTGAGAGTAAAAGGAGAACAGATTGAAGTGCACGGGAACGTAAAAAGCACTATTTCCTGTAAAAACGTCAGTCTGTTTGTTTACATGTCATTTGTACAACACTGAAATATCACTAACTTATTATTAAATTCTATACATATTCAAATATTTCGTTGTTTACTTCCATTTTTTACAAATATAAGATTCTTTGCTCACACCGCTTTCTATTTTTGGTTGCACATGCAAATCAGCTGATCNAATATCACTAACTTATTATTAAATTCTATACATATTCAAATATTTCGTTGTTTACTTCCATTTTTTACAAATATAAGATTCTTTGCTCACACCGCTTTCTATTTTTGGTTGCACATGCAAATCAGCTGATCGTTTGACACTTTTCATGAACTTACAGGAAAAAAAAAAACTCCGGACTAAATCCTGTAACTTCTGACTAGGAACAGTTGCCCAGTTACTCTCTCAAAAGTGTTCCCACTTACAGGTTTTATGTCAATAGGAACGACTTCCTGTATGTTCTGACTAAATCCTGTAAACCGGACTGCTATTGGAACAGACTATATGTAAGTTCTGACTAAATCCTGTAAACCGGACTACTATTGGAACAGACTAACTAAATCCTGTAAACCGGACTGCTATTGGAATAGACTAATAGTTAAGCGCATAAAAACACACGATTGCGCGCTGGTTGGGACACACAGTGTGACGATCCCATATAAGGTGCGGCCAAAAATATAATGCTAAGCCGTCGAAAAGCAATGAAATTCGGCATAGTTAATACTTAGGGAAATATTAAGAAATACTGAAAAAATTTACCATATCCGTCAACGGACAAGCCCACTTTCCATATATGCATAAAATAAAAATGTCTCCAACTTTAACAATATTTGAGATATAATAATAAGTATTGAAATCTAGGTAGATGTAAAATAAAAATCGGACCAATCGGCCTAATTCAACGCTTATCGTAGCATAACCTCTAAATCTTATATATGGTTATTTTAGTCCAAAATGAGCTTTTTGAATAAAAACCAGTGTCAAATATATCTATGAATACATTTTATTAATCCGATAACAAAAGCATAGATTTAGGCGTGTATACTTTCAATAAAAACAAACTTATTCTAATTTGTCTGACGAAAATTAAAATTCGGAAAATCAATTTCTGTTCAAATTTAGTTTTTATCTATTGACATTTCCTCTTCATATGTTATTACGAAGGGGCTAATTTCGTTGAAACGCTTCTATTTTTAACCGACTTCCAAAAAAGGAGGAGGTTATCAGTTCGTCGAAATATTTTTTTTTTTTTTTTATAAAGGATGTTACCGCATAACTTTGGGCCACGGCAACCGATTTCGATAATTCTTTATGCATCGTAAAGGTAGTGTCTCAGAGGTGGTCCCTCTGGTTAAGATCCGATCAGCGGGTCATGAGATATATATATATATATATTTTTTTTATATGAGAGTTGAAGTCGGTTTTTTTTTTTTGCTAAAAATTACTTGTTGCTATATAATTTCCGTTCCACAGAGATAGATGGATCGGAATATAAAATTACGTGCAAAGAAATGTCTTCAATGGATGTTTTTCGTGAAACTTTTCTGGTGTTTTCCAAGCGGCATTTCCCAAACTTGATACATATGTCTTGCTTCTAAAGCATCTTCGGAGAAGACTTCAATGGGAAGGGTAAAATCTTTGAAAATTTCGCAGCCATGAACTAATATATTGTGAACTGTTGTTGGTATATAATTCGAAAGTGTATTTTAACAATATTTTAAAAGTCTCATTATTTTTGCACATTGCACTACATAAGGATCACAATATTAATGGTTATTGACAGTTAAGCAGAATTCCGTTTTTTTTTTACACAGGTGAAAGTATATTCGGACTGAGTAGGCAATTTAGAATTAAAATCCTCTCCCGATGTACAAAAATCACTCTCCATAAGTCACTAATAGTGATGGCAAAAAAACTTTAATAATCGCAAGCATTCGATTAATAATTGCAAAAATTGGTACATAAGAAATGAGAAGTAAATTAATATTAAGCTGGAAAACGCAAGCTTTATATTATGATTGTTTTCTTTTCAAATGAAATTTATTGAAGAAACTGAGAAGCATATTATAGATCAAACAGAAAGCAAAAAATACTTAGTTTTGTGGAAAATATGTTGAAAAAGCATGAAAAAAAAAATTTCCAACATTTTGCTTCATAAGCACTACAAAAATTTTCTAAATCAATTTTTTTTTTAATTTTAATTGTTGCACAGGTCTCTAGCAATAATTTGGCTTTAACAGATTGAAAAAATATCAATTAGTCGACGAGTTATAGCCAAAAAAAACCATATAAACAATATGCGGAAAATCGGCATTTGATTGCAAAGTTCGAAGGTCGATTAAAAAAAAATTCGAACTAACATAAACAAACGCCGCGATACGGGTCTTCTAATTTAGCCTCTATTTTCACCCCTCACCCTCAGAATCGACCTAACTTTTGCTAACCTGAATTTGTTCCACAGTGTAATAGTAAAAATATGCAGTTCCTGCTGACTATAAATGTGTTGTATTTTTATACAATTTGTTGATAAACAGTAACCTTATATTTTAAAATAAAGATGAAAGAATTGTTGTAACGTAAACAATTTAACAATCCAGTGAAGCGAACTCGAAGGATTTAGGAATTCAGCGACTAATTCAAGGATAATCCTAACAGTACGTACAGTCGCGACATTTTAGCATTCTTTGGCTATTTCCCTTTTGTTTATTTGATGTTTATTATTTTTTTTATGAAAGTGTAGCTCGTTATCTAACAAAAACCATGTAAGTAAAAATTTCAAACTTTGTACAAAAAATAGCAAAATTGGACAAATTTTTAATAAGATTTTCTAGAACCATTGTGAGTTTTTTATCCCATTCAATTTTATATAACAGTGTACAAATTTTAAGTAGCTAGGACTTACCGTTGATTTTTGGAATTTTTTTTTGTGGAAGGTGTTGCCGATTTTCCCCAAACAAACAAAATTTCGAACATACTTTGTTTGGAAGAAAATGCGTAAACAAAAAATTTTCAAAAATCAACACTTACTTAGCTACTTTAAATTTGCTCTTTATTATACTAAAATTTAAGAAACTTCGTACTCAAAAAAGTTCTACAAAATCTGATTAAACAGTTTCAAACTTTGACGAACATTTTTTAAAATTGTCGTGTTTTTATAAATATTCTACAAAATTTGAAATTGTGATTTAGATGATTTTCTTATTTACGCTATATTTTCATAAAAAAATTATAAGAACAAGAAACAAAGAAAAATAGCTAAAACTTGCTAAAATGTGTCTACCCTACTTACATTCTCCCCACCGTACATCATAAAAACGAAATATGAAAACACATCTATGACAGGCGGACTCAGATACATTAATATTTTAAACTTTAAAGGAATTAAAACAGTAAAAAATCAATAACATGAAATGAAGTGCGAAAAAAGAAAAAAGAATCGGCAAAAAAACGGCCGATGCCGATACTAGCCGATGCGGGTTACGATTAATCGGTCGGACTCTAAAATTTATTTACCCAAATAATACTCGCCAATTATGCAAGTGGTTACTCAATGTTACATACTTAATTGCACGTGTCAGATTTAAACCTATAATGTACAGCCCGGTTCACTTGAATAGATACACATGTTTTCCTCAAGATACAGGGTTATATCTGGACTTGTGGGCATCCGAGAAGTTTCTTTTTTATGTCATATGGAAGAATGATCAATTTTAAAGAAAAGCGGTGAAAATGGTTCCACGCTTTATCAAACTACACCAAAATTATGCTTATTATTTTGATTCACCTGAATGGGCATAGTGTCTTTAACACAAGGAAAGTAGTAGCTTGAACCAACAAAAGCATACCATTCATTTTAATTCCACTATAAAAAACTTTTAGTATTAGATACTACATCGTTAGAGGCGCTTTGAGAAATGAAATACATCTTGCTGCTTACCACTTTAATCGCCGGAAAAAACAATTGCAACAACTTGCAAAACATCCAATTCCATGTATTTTCCATTAAGTTTAGGTCCTGTGAATAGGACAAACTCTGTGATTGAATTTGACATTGCTCTCTTAAGAAGAACCTTGTACCTATTCAAGTGAATCAAAATAATAAGCATAGTTTTTCGTGTAGTTTGATAAAAAGTGGAATAAAATCCAAAGTAATTAAGGTGTTTTCTTCATTTGCACAGCTATTGGACGAAAATAATCATTCTTTAAGCTGAGGCCAAAAACAAAACTTCTCGGATGCGCACAAGTCCAGATATAAGCTTGAATCTTTAGAAAAATATGTGTACCTATCCAAGTGAACGGGGTTGTACATACATATACTATTATATTGTCGATAAGGTTTTATGAAATGATATGTCTATGAAGTAATAAATGTGTCATTTAACAAATATCAAATTTACATATGTATGTACATATATGCTAAATCTCGTCAATTATTCTCTTCGTATGTGGCAAGCTGCGTGGGCGGCTTCTATCTGGAATTGTGAAAGCACACTTCGAATGATAAATATGTACATATGTATGTATGTAGGTATATATCTATAAATATTACGAAAGATAAGTGGCCACATAATGTACTGTTACAGCTGCGATTCGAAATAGCAAACATTTTTGTTGTTACTTATTTTAATTCACTCACGCTTCCATTCATACTTGTAGATGGTATACACACACCTATCTATGAATAACTAATGTAACTAAGTAGGTATGTATGTAAGTAATCGCATGTTTTCACATCATCGACCATTAACCATCGACGTCAGCAACATGTTGAAAAATCGATATATTCGACAATTTCTGATAATGTACAGTGGGTCGAGAATCAACAAAAAGCGTTTTTAATTTTTTTTTACAATAACCTCAATTGATACGCTCTTTAGATTTCCAGATGTATTTGCTTCTTATATATCTCAAAGCGTTAGTTGATTTGAAACGAGACCAAAGAGCTTTGTCGTTTCAACAACCTTTAATAATATATAGGTCATTGGGCACTGTAAGCATTAGCTTGACATATATTCCACAAAATTGGAAGAGGATCCAAGTTTTTATAACTCCCGAAGAAGTAAAAAAGAAACCACGAAAAGGCTAAAGACTTCAGAAAAATAATGCTAACATCCAACTGCTAGTAGCACCGCAAAGTGTTAAAAGTGCAAATAAGATCCCTTTTGGGAATATCGGAACTATCGACATCCCAACATGCAGAAACAGAAACCGGTCTCCATAAAGTTTTGGGACCTTTAATACCATACATTATCAATATCGTGCCAGGTAATAAGATCAACGGGGGGGCACCAGGGTGGGAAATAAAGTCAATTGAACTTATTTCCGTTGATCTTATTACCTGTCACCATCAATATAACTCAATACTGTAAAAGCGTATTTTTGGTCGAAAATGATGGCACACTTATCTTAGGCAGTGGATTATCTTCAGTTTAGCATAAAGAGCAAGATTTTATTGCGAAATTGTATTTAAATGAAAACTTAAAAAAGATATAATAAAAAAATCAAAATAACACAACCCGCGCCTGTAGTTGCTGTGGAATATTTTCCTACGGCATTATTCGCGAATATAAGTAGCTTATGTTGGAAAGCGGGCTTTAGTATAATGCGGCATTTCCGGTATTCTTTAAACAACTTGGAATTTTTTGACGAGACTTAATAAGAATATTGACTTGCTAGTATCGGAACTATTTCTTGCACGTTTATTTACCAAAGCACGGCTCGACGCCAGTGAGTCATTCGCAACCGTATGCTGCGAATGCCGCATTATACTAAAGCCAGCTTCCCGATAAACGTCTTAAGGCTAAAACTGTTCAAATACCTGATTTATTTTTTATTGAACTTTCATTGATTGAATGCAAGAAGAATTAATGTTTTTTCTGGCAAGTGAAGGGCGTGACTCTAAAAAATTTGCTTTCGTCGCAGAGTTTTTACCGACATAGCAATCGAAGGAATAACCCAGTCCCTTGGAAATGTTGGAGTATCTAACCGTATAGTCGGACCAACATGGCGGAATATGTGCTAGGCCCATCTAATAAACCAGAAGAACGTATGGATTGTTTACCTCAAAGATGCCACTACCCACATCAATTAACAATGTGACAAAGTGCTTTCTCAATATGAAAAAGACAAAATAGGAAAAAAGTTAATTACATTAGCATGTCCAGAAATTGCGTTTTTTTAGAGCCGGCTATAATCAGGCCCGACTAGAGCGTAGGGGGTCGCTGGTGTTTCTCCACGAGCACGGACTTTTCAAAGGGTCCGGATTCGTTCGAGAACTAAGTTTCAAGTCCGAGCAAAGGAAATTTATAAATGAAATGTCTACGCAAAGCCCACTGTGTGTCCGCTGTTGAGCGCCTGCGCTTTGCCACTGCCTGGGCATTATTACATTAATCTACAAACGACAACATTAGTACTAACTCACAGTATTTAGTAGCTGGACGACAAGTAAAAAGAAAGTACGAAAAAACAAAACAGCAGCACAGTATTTGGTGTATAGTCACGAATTTACAGCAAAACACTGATTTATATAGAAACCAATTACTACGATGGTTGGTTAAAGAATTTTGCGCAAAGCTCATTTAACCAGCTGCTGGTAAGTGTGAATTGACAATATGCAAGATACAAAAAGCAAGAAGCAAACCCTTCACAAATCTATCGCATTCAATTCACAGCAACAGGATGAGCAACAACAAGGCAGCAAATATGGAGAAATTTTGCGGTTTGATTTTCATTTTAGCTGCGGTGGCAATCGATTTGAGTGCGTGCAACCATTTGCCTATGCATCGACTCGACTATCCAGAGGATGCACTGACGCTGAATGAGCATTTCTTCAACGATGTGCGTGCACTGATCAAGCGACGTCTAAAGGAAACTGCAGCGGTAAGTGTTGGAATGTACTAATTTTGAATCTTGAACAAACAAACAAAAATTTTTCTCGCTATTATTTTAATTTTCTCACCACAGTTGCAGGAGTTGCATATGGATAATGAAAATGTAATCGGTATTGGCGGCAGCAGTGGCAGTAACAGCAATGAGTTACCCACAAATTTGGAGCATATCAGCGTTGGAGGTGTAGGCAGCGGCGGTAGTGATGTTGGCATAGATATTATAACGCCACCGCCCACGGTACCCACACCAGTACTGGTGGAGAATTGGCCCACTGAAAGCCACTCCTTTGGTCAGGTCACCGCCGTATCTATAGATCCACATGGTAATCCGGTCATTTTTCATCGCGCCGATAGATATTGGGATGCGAAGTAGGTCAACAGCTGTTACAAATCAGCTGTATGTTAGTGTTTGTGTGTGTGTTGAATTGAAGTAGGCGCAAGGATAGTAGTTCTAACGTTGATATACTTATATATATATTTTTTTGCTTTGTTTTTGTAGCACCTTTAATGACAGCAACATTTTCTATTTGATTGAATATGGACCGATTAAGGAGAAGACTATTTACATTTTAGATCCCAAGACAGGTGCTATTAAGTCTGGTTGGGGTGAAGATATGTTTTACATGCCACATGGCATGACCATTGATGTGCATGGGAATTATTGGATTACGGATGTAGCAATGCACCAGGCATTTAAGGTGAGTGGAAGATAAAATCAAAGTAGAGAAGAAGACGAAAAAGCAAAGAATTTAAAATTCAAATGAAACAATACTAAGCAAAAAAATAAAATAAAACAAAAACATTAAAGAAAATAAAACAGTGAGAGTAAAACAAAAAAACCTAAAAATAAAAAAAAATAAGATAAAATGAAAGGAAAAATTCAATAAAAAGAGCGAAATTTAAAAATCAAAACAAAATAAAATTAAAAAGATTAAAATAAAGTATAATAAAATTTAAAAATAATAATAATTAACTTAAATATGTAAAATATTCAAAAAAAAAAAAACAAAATAAATATAAAATATATTAAATAAAGTGAAAAAAATCAAATAAAATTATTTTAAATAAAGTAAAAATAAAAATAAATAGATAAAATAGAAAAGAATAAAATATATAAAATCAAATACAATAAAATAAAATAAGGTTACATAAAATAATATAAAACAAAATCCAATAAAATAATTTAAAGTAAAATATGTTAAATCAAAAAAATAAAATAAAATAAAATAAAATAAAATAAAATAAAATAAAATAAAATAAAATAAAATAAAATAAAATAAAATAAAATAAAATAACATACAGCAAAATGAAATAAACCAATTTAAAAAAAGGAAAATAGCATAAAAAATCCGTTAAAAATTAAATTAAACTAACAAAATTATATTAAAAATTTATAAAATAAAACAGGTTAATATAAAATAAATAAAATAGTAAAGAGAAAATCAAATAAAATAATTTAGCAAAATTTAATTAAATTAAATCATTTTAAATAAAGCAAAATAAAATAAAATATAATTAAACTAACTAAATTATATAAAATATATTAAGGAAAATAAAATAAAATAGACTAAGTAAAAGTAAAATAAAATTAAGAATAAAGGAATATACATACATACAGGGGAAGCAAAAAACAGTATAAAGAGAATGTCAAAAACAGGTAGGGCTATCTAAAAAGCTGTTTTTGGTACTAACACTTTAAAATTTTTATTGAAGGTGTATATTAATAGTTGCGATCCCGTACGAGTCCGGACTTGTCAGAATTAGTCAGATTTTACTCTCTTTTTTACTCTCTATCAGAAGTTACCAGTTTTAGTCCGAAGATTTTTTGCTGGTATATTCTGGTAAATGTGTCAAACGATCAGCGTGTTTGGCAACCAAATTGTAAACAAAAGAAAAGTGCACTCTGCTAATTCATGTTGAAAACTATTTACATAATTACTTGCTTAAGTAGATTCTAATGAATTTGAAAGTATTTTTGTTGTTTACATGTGTGTTTACATTCAAAATAAGCAAAAATTTACCACCAAAATTTGGAGTTGAGTTAAGGTTATGTATGTAAAACCAAAAGAAGAAAAATAAAATAAAATAAATAAGAATAGAATAAAAAAAAATTAAATTGAGTAAATTTAAGTGCATACATGGGTACATACATAGAACAAAATAACATAAAATAAGATAAAATTAAACGAGATGAACCCAAATGAAATAAAGTAATTTAAAATAAAATTAAGTAAAAATTTAACAAAATAAATAAATTTAAAAAATAAATAGAACAAATAAAAACAAAATATATAAATATAAATATTTTATGAAACTAAATGAAAATAAGATTAAATAAAATTAAAATAAAATTAAAGTAAAATGAGATAATAAACAAAAAATAAATAAAATCAAAAAAAGATATAAAAGAAAGTAGAATTTAAAAAACAATTAAAAATTTGTAAACAAAATAAAGTAAATAACATAACGGCGATAGGTTACAAAGTCGGTGGCAGTTAAACGGGTAAAGTGAATCTTCATGAATTTGCGTTTGTGAAATAAAACTAATACGGTGCTCGCATAGGGCGATTTTCCAGGCAATTTTAGAGGCGATTAGTTGTATCAAAAGTTGGCTGCACCTCAACTTCATTGGAAGCGATTAGTTGAAAGGCCGTTCACACCAGGCGATTGTTGTTTTCAACTGAAGGTTGCCTGTAAAACCGCCTCATGCGAACACCGTATAAGGCTTACAACAAAGAAAAGCTTGGGCGAATAAAATATTTTAAGTGAAAAATCGAAAAAAGAATGCTGAAGATGGCGCAACGCCAAACCGTTTGTCTTCAAATCAATCTTGACAAGGGATTACTAAAATTCGTTCCAAAAAAATCAAAAAAAAGTGTTTTCTTAGAAGTATAAACAAAAGATAGTGAGGCCTAACACAAAATCCATCGTAGTCCGATTTTTCGTGAAATCTACGAAATCACTGAATCCGAATTGCTACGAACGTGTAAATAACTACAAAGCATACGCTACGTTCGTGGCTATTCGGAATCAGTGAAAGCATTGTCGTAGACTTCATGAAAAATTGGACTACGATGGATTCTGTGATTGAGTAAATAAAAACCATTAATTAGAAATTTAATTTGAGTAACTTACTTTGAATATTAAACTGTAAACAACTTTAACTGATCCATTTTCAGTTCAAACCATTTGAAACTCAACCGCTGCTTACCGTCGGAAAGCGATTCAAACCTGGCTCAAGCATTAACCATCTCTGCAAGCCCACCTCTATTGCGGTCGCCACTACCGGCGAGGTATTTTAGCTAGTTAATTGATAATAAAAATCGAATCCCTTAAAACAGTGTCGGTCACACAAATGCATACTAAAAAATCTGCATAAGTGTGCCATATCAAGCGTGTGAGGAACGAAAGCATAACATCGTTAACGTTGCTGTGACAACACGTAGCCAAAAGCGCATAATAAGCACGTTTTGGCCGGCACTGCTTTAAAAATAAAAACAAACACAAAAATCACTCATACGCCCCACGAATTTCAGTTTTTCATTGCCGACGGTTACTGCAATAGCCGCATTTTGAAATTCAACGCTGCTGGACGGATTTTGCGCACCATACCTCAGCCACCAGGTATAAAAAGCAAAATCCCAATCATATATTTAAAACAAAATAATAGCGATTGAAAAATTATTAAATATCACTATTTCTCAATAAAAATTTTCAGAATTCCTCTCCTTACAAGTGCCACATGGCATCACGCTATTGGAACATTTGGATCTCCTCTGCATTGCTGATCGTGAGAATATGCGTGTCGTTTGCCCAAAGTGCGTTTATTTAAAATTGTTCAGTGATGAGGACAGTGCTTGTAGTTTTCATGTATATACAGTATCGGTCATATCTATAGCACGCCATTTCAAAGTGATATTGTGTGCCACTTATGTTTATTTATATATTTTTAAGAATTTTCAATTAAAATATTGTTCATTTTCGGACAAACCCCATATATACCCAAGTTCAACAATTTGTAGAAAACTACAAAAAAGTGTAACAAATTTTCACCTAAATTTCAAACTTTTTTCTCGGTAGTGATAGAATTTTTTTGAGGACACAGTTTTTTAGCCCCTGCAATTTTAGTCTGATAATGTGCAAATTTCAAGTGGCTACGAAATACCGTTAATTTTTTAGAATTTTTTTGTCGCATTGGCTTCCATATAATGAATAAACTCAATTTATTTGTATATGGAAGAAAACCGCAACATCCTTGGCGAAAAAAATTCTAAAAAATCAGCGGTAACTTTTAGCCACTTGAAACTTGCACATTATCAGACTAAAATTGATTGGGCTATAAAACTGTGTATTCAGAAAAATTCAAACACTTCCGAGAAAAAAGTTTGAAATTTAGGTGAAAATTTGTTGCACTTTTTTGTAGTTTTCTATAAGTTTTTAAACTTGGGTTTATATGGGTTTTGTTAGATAAAGAACTGTATTTTAATTGAAAATTCTTAAACATAAATAAATAAACATAAGTGGCACACAATATCACTTTGAAATGGCGTGCTATAGATATGACCGATACTGTACATACGTATGTATTTTTTCTTTCTTTTTTCTTTCAAATAGAGCCGGACTAAAATCGTCACAGGGCGAGGGCCAACCCGCCGCTACAATACAGGAGCCCGATTTGGGGCGGGTCTTTGACGTGGCCGCTTACGGTAATATTGTTTATGCAGTTAATGGACCTACATCAATGTTGCCCGTACGTGGTTTCACCATTGATCCACGCTCTGAAACTATTATTGGGCATTGGGGTGAATTTAAGAACCCACATTCGATTGCTGTATGCGTAAATGGTTCAGCATTGTATATAACCGAAATTGGTACAAATCATCAGACAAATAAAGTATGGAAATATGTGTTGGTTTAAATGTACTGAAGAAAGTGGAGAAAGCCGAAGTGTAATAAAAAATAAACCCAAAGTAAATACCTACCTAAGTGTTTAAAACCCATACAAAGCAAACAATAATCCAGTGCACACGACGTTCATTTCCGCAAAAGCCATAAACATATACATATGTATATGTATGAAGTAGGCATTGTTGTAAATAAAACAATACGTATGTATTAAATGTAAGCATTATACTTGTAACTTAAATAACTTATCGAAAATGACACGTACGATTTGCACCTTTAAAACAAAAAGATAATACGAAATTATTAACACAAAATATTCACTAAACGTTTTTACCTCGGAAGCAGCACACCAAGCATTTGTGTGAATTTGATTGCAACAACAAAAATAACTCAAGTCATATCTCGTAATCAAATCACTATAACCAAAAAGGTAAATGTGTAATAAAAACCCACTTCGTTACGTAGAAATTTCACCATGAACTTCCATTATCTATATTTGAAAGCATCTGCAAAAATATACAACCACAACCAAAAAATAGAACCACTATAGCTAAAACTATAATAACAATTTCTTGAATATACATAAGTACATACATACATATAACATAAAAATAATTTAAACTAACATTTTAAAGAATTATCAAAGTACGAAAATCTATGTACATATACGTAGTATGAAAATAAGTGTGGAATAAATAGAATGGAGCGCGGCAAATTACTGAAAGTAAATATTTGCATATAAATAAATATCAATGCACCACCTAAAAGTAAACGTAGTAATTGATGCAATTCTGTTCAAGACACTATATTATAGATAAATAATTGGCCAGCCCAGTATTACCTGTACTAAACAGAAATCGCATGTGATTTATGCTCCATCGTGGTAACGAAATTTCCCTAATTGTGTACCTCCCGTTTTGTCTTTATATTGCTCTTGACATTTTTTTTTTTTAACAATCACACAAAACTATGTAGTTCTATTTGTTTTTAACTAGAAAGCTGTACCTAGAGTAATCTTCTTAGCAAGATACATACATACATATATCAAATATAAAAAAGTAAATAAAATTGTCATCTACCCCACTGAATGGAGCTGATTTTTTACTTTTATCTCTACTTGGGGAAAAAAGGTGGACTATTGAAATCTTAGGTTTTGGATTACACCACCGCACAGAATTTTTTCGCTATTTAAAAAACTATACAGTTGCTTCAAATTATGCTGACAAGTTTCTACGAGATTTTCTATAAACAAGCAAAGATTAATGTATCGGCTGACAACGACTTATTTTTATAAGTAAATATTAATTTATTAAAAACATATATCTATCCTAAATGTGTAAGTATCATAAGCACTTACATACATACATATATATAAACCGACCAAATTTGTATAAAACTATGTATTAGTAGGAATTACAAAAAAAATAAATACAGCTATCAAATATAAGGCATATGAAATTCCATAAGAAAATTTGTGCGAGAGAAGAAAGAAAAGTCCCACACTAATATTCTTCATCGCCGCTCTTAGCATGCAACCACTTTTCAATAAATTCTAGCACTGCATTTAGCTGCTTCAACCACACCTCCAGTTCCTCCTGTGTATCTGCTGCAAAAAATACTGCCGCTGTATCCACTTCCTCTCCGGCCTTTTGTAGCGAGCACTGCAAACAAAAAGCGCGTGCACGTGCACACAATTCCCGCGGGGCCATTTGCAGTGGCGTTGACTGCACATTCGAGCGCATATCCAAAGATAGTAGCAATTTTTCATCCATTTGATTTTCATCTGTCCACACGTGTACGAAGATACCATCCAATGTACACCAACGTCGATTCCAATTGTGAAGCGTATGAGGATCTTGCACATTTAGAAAACCACTATGCGTATGTTTAGGCAGGCGAACTTCCGTGCGGCCACTTATTTGAATTGCAGCACTGAGATTTGTAGATTGTGTACACGGTGTTAGTGGTAATTGACAATTTTTGGCGCTGGCTCGCAAGCAAAGTTTATCTGTGTTCTTGGATTCGCATTCTACGTACTCGTACGGCACAAAATTGCGGGCATGAAGTGAAAAGCTGGCATGTAGGCGAAAACGTGAAACGATTTCATCGCCCGAAGATGATGTCGATGAGCCGCCAGGTGTGCGTAAAGCAGGTATTTTCTAGAAGAAAGAGATTTTCATTTGTGAAATTATTTGTGACTGAAGTTGAAAACTCACAACTATGGGCCGCTTGGGTTCCAGCGATAGTGTAGATACTTTGCGCAACCGCAACATAAATATTTTACAGCGCACCTCGCTATCCTCCTTCCCCAAACCGCCTACAAATTCAATGCCGCAATCACTAAATATTGCCTGTCCGTTGTGGCACTCCGCCGATTGTGTGGACTTTATTACACCACCACACTCGAAAGTCACTATATAGAAATAGTTGAAGAAGAAATCTTGATTAACATCGACTTTTATGGGCAAACGCATGCTATCCACATAAAAACGATGTGTGTGTTGTCCGCAAGCACGTGCTGAAATCAGCCGACCATGCTGAGGCCACACGTCACCACGTAGGCGCGAAAAAAGCAGTAAACGTTCAGCTTCCACCATTTCAGGTGAAATTTCTACTTCCGGTAGTTGTCGACAAATAGTTACCGCTTGCGCTAATTGCTGCGTTACTGGCGCTTTTTCGTCCAATGCGAACAATGCATCCAAATCGTATGTGGACGTGGCAGCATGCAGGTTTGGGTCGGTTTGATTGTGCGTATTTATGCTCTTCGACAAGCTTATATGTGACGAGGGAAAGCTAAAAGAACTGGATAGACGACGTGTCTCGTTTTTAACGAAGTTCGTGCTGCGCTTAAACGAGTTGCGCAAAACATTTTTTAAACGCTTATAAGAGGGAATGTTTAAATTGCTGGAAGGTGTTTTAATGCAACTGTGGCCGATTGTAGAACGTTGAACTTGACCATTAAAACTGCCGCTAGGTGTTGAAAGTTGCTCTTGTTGGAATTGATCTCCAGTGTCGGCTTGGTGTACTTCATTGAGACTGGAGGTGTGTGGTAGATCTGTTGGATAATCTGATTGAGCTTTTCGTGGTGTAGCAGGGCAACTGGTACTTGGCTGATGGCAAGATGAAGGCGATGAGAAGATATCGGTCGATGGATTGAGATTAGACAATCGTTGTTTGCTTAGGTGTGACTGAAATTCGTAGAACGGAAATGAGAATATTTTTAATGTAAACAGATATTACTGTTCTTTAACCCTTAAGGTCAGGATATGCTGTGTTAACGGTCGTGACAGGCGGAATAAAAAATAAATAATAATTTATTGTTATTTAAAGTAAAGAAAGAAAAATTAAGCAACGTTAAGGGTTATAGAATAGCATAGACATTGAGAGGGTTACGATTTGAAAAATCTTACTTGCAATGCGCCAAAAACCAAAATAAAAAATACATGAAATATGTTTTTGTGACTCTTTTTTAAATAGTATGATCCGGCAATGATATGATTGTTAACAATATGCGTTTAACGCGAGAGGAGTGAGTAAAAAAGCATTAGTAACAAAGAATTCATATTTACATTGATTTGAGAAAAAAAAAACATTTTATGCCTAAAGTTTAAGCTTGTCTAAAATTAAGGGCTTGACGCTAATAAGAGTCAAAGAAAATTTCTACCTTAGTTACAAATTTGGGTGCATTCTGCTTTTTCGGTGTGTTTGGAGCACCAGATGTCATCGATTCGTTAGCCAAACTTAAGCCTGATTGGCTAATATCTGCCTGAGAAATGTTATCAAAGTCTGCGTCATTTGGCGTATCATAGGATATTGAATCGTTTGGAGTAGGCGTGGATGTAGAGAAGTGCCGATATGTATTTATTTGGCCCATAGAATCGGTACGTAGGGAACCGTAGGATTTGTTTAAATCATTCTAGGGAAAACATTCAAATAAAATAATAAAAAAAATTAATACATAAGGAAATAAAGAAATTATTTTCTATAATTAGTAAGTTGCTAAATAAACAAAACCTTATGAGATTATTTAAATACTGTACTCACATTATTCATTTTCTCAACCCGCTCCAGTTCACCATTTTCCGGTACGAGCTCACTTCGACACAGGTTGTCTAAAAATATCTCACTACGATGCAGCGACAGATCGGATTTATTTAGGTTACGATCTCGCTTTGGCGGAGAATGCTGCTCCTGCATGCGCACATTATTCAGTGAACGGCAATGTGATAGTGTTGTTGAAGTGGCTGTCGCACACACATGCGCTTGCGGAGGCGACATGTAGGATGTATCACTGCCAGATTGCTCCTGCAGCGTTGGCAGTTGTACTGTAAACGGGGATATATCTGAATTTTTCAGCGAGTCATGTAATAGCTTTCCTAATGGCATTGGAGTTGTATGCATAGCTTGTGGCTTCAGCTTTTTATTGGCCTTATTGACTTTGGCATACAACACTTCCACATCCGGTCTGCTTGTTACTATTTCCTTAGCGCTTGTTTTATTGTCATAATGTGGCGTGCCCGTGATATGTATGCTGTCTTCTTCAATTTCAGAGTAAATAGGTTCCTGTTGATTGGCGCTCTGTTCACTTCTTTCCACGCCCACACGCATTTGCCGACGTAGAATATGCCCATCGGTGCAATCGAAACCGGCGGCGCGCTGCTCACGGCGTTCAATTTCCTGGTGAATATTTTCTTATAAGTTATACATCGTCGGCTTTTGATGCAGTAAGATAGCATAACTCAAAATACATCATTACCAAAAAAGAAAGTTACCGTAATGTCGTTCTTACTTGTTGTTATGCATTGGTACGCAAATGTGCTAAGTCCGAAAAAATCAAGAAAAAATATAAACACGTCTGTCCGTGTACACGATAACTCGAGATATCTCAACGAAATTTGGTATGTAGGTTGCCCTTTATCCAAGGTAAGTTGGTATTAAAAATGGGCGAATCGGACTGTAACCACGCCCATTTCCGATCTAAAGGTATTTTCTAAAGATGCAAAAACTACGATATTTCAGTAAATATTGGATGCAAATTGTTCAAAATTAGTATGTGAAGTAGAATTTTTGTAAAAAATATTATTGCGCAATATTGGGAAAATGGGCGTGACCCCGCCCACCTATTATGAAATATATCTCAGTAGCCCATTCACCGATCTCCACCAAACTCGGTACGAGCCTTATTTAGGGTCTAGCTAAGAAATCTGTTGAAAATCTTTAAAATCGGGCAATGACTACGCGTATCTACTAAAGCTAATTCACTTAAAATCGATGATCTCGATAACGACTCAGCAGAAAATTAGATTATGATACATTTTTGGATAATGGGCATGGCGCCGCCCACTTATGACCGCAAAAGTGTAACTCGGTAACCGATTTATAAATTTCTTCCAAACTCGGTGCACTTAGTAAACCTGGTACGGAAAAGCAATTCGTTGAAAATTATTCAAATCGGACCAAAATTACATTCGCTTTCCGTATATCTAACGGTAAATTTCAGAAATGCGAAAACTCTGATATTTTAATAACTGACGACGCCAATTTACTCCAAGTTAATACTTACAACAATCTCTTAACAATAATTAAGACTGCATGACTACAAGGTGTATCTCGGTAGCCAATTTAGCGATTTCTACTAAACGTGGTTCAATTATTTCATTGAGTCTAACTCAGGATATTATGGGAAACGTTTGAAATCGGGGGAAACGCCCCTGCTTACTACAGTATTTGATACCTGCGGCGGGTATATAAAGTTCGGTTTCGCACAAACTTATACCTCTTTACTTACTTTCAATTATTTTATTTTATAAATGGTACATAAATTTACGACTTAAAATAGTTATTTTTCTAATAGCAATGAAATAAAACTGTATTAGGTTATAATTTATTTTAAAACAATAAAATTAAATCTTTTAACAATAAAAAATAATGGAAAAAAGGTTGATAGAAAATGTGCTAAGTTCACATTAAAAGAATAAAATCTTAAAGAGAAAATGTGGTAAGTCCGAAAAGAGCCTATAAGTCTGCAACAGCTTTATTTTGAAATTGGCCGATTATTGGTACTAAAATAAGACGAACTAAGGAAGAAAACTGCATTTACAGATTAGAAAAATATTGACAACAAAAAAAGTTAGACGGTTTTTGTCCCTCCTGAAAAATAAAAAAAATGGACTTAGCACGTTTGCGAACTAAGCCAACGACATGCTACATATGTACATATCTGTGTTCGTATGGAATAGTAGCTTATGCCTAAAGGCTGGCTCTAGTATAATGCAGCATTCGCGGCATACGATTGCGAATGACTCACTGGCGTCGAGCCGTGTTTTGGTAAATAAACGTGCAAGAATAGTCAATATTCTTATTAGGTCTCATCAAAAAATTTGCTGTCGTTTAAAGAATAAAGTGAATGCCGCATTATACTAAAGCCAGATTCCCGACATAAGCTACTATTCTATACGAACACAGATATATAAATTTTTGTAAGATATTTATCAAGGACAAATAGATAGAATTGATCTGTGTATATAAAAAAATAACAAAAAAAAATTTCAATGGCGCATATTCATAGTCATATTTAGTACTCAACTAAGTCGAAACTATTCTAAGTCACAACTAAAGCTATTCATAGTCGCCTTAGTTTCGACTTTTCTGGCTAAGTACCAACTTAAAATCTAGTTTCGGCTGCAGCTGCAACTAAGTCGTAACTAGGAAGAAGTATTTTATCAAATTAAGGGAAAACAGACGAAATATGTAAAAATTAAGTTGGTAGAGGGTGATTTTGATAATATTGAATAATCTCCAATTAAAATTTACAAAGATCGATCCATTTTAATCGGAAGATGAAATTAAATGCGTATTACAATTCGAATAAAGCTACATCACAATTTTATAATTGGAATAATTTAGATAAATTCTCAAATAATAAGTCAGTTTCACGCTAGTTCTTTTAAAGTAAATTTGTGCATAACATTTAGATATCTACTATTTGTATATTTCACAGCATGCTTTCGATAAACATCGACTTCACATCACTGCGGTTGTTCTGGCTATTTCACACAATTAACAAGAAAATGATACCTTATTCTTTTGCATAATCATGCAATGAAAATAAAAATTACATAAACGGATGATCAAACTTGACATTATTTAATAAAAATGTAATTTTTCCAAAATATCGTAAAGAAAAATCGATACATTTTCACACTCGTTTTGCTATATCGTAAACTAAGTCGAAACTACTTAGTAGAAGTCTGAAATGCGACTATGAATAGAGGTAAATTTTAAGTTGGTACTTAAATTTAAGTTGCAACTTTGTTAGTTTCGACTTAGTTGCTGGACTATGAATACGCGCAAATGTAACGAATTAATAAACTTTTTAACTCCAGGCCCATATCAAAAAATAACATATCTGTTTAAAATTTTAAGAAAATGCGTGGGAAATAAAACACGAGAAATGCGATAAACAGCTGATTTTGACATTAGAAGGCCCATAAAAGATGCATAAAAGGACAAAGAAATATTTTAGAAAACCAAAATAAATTCCAGCTCTTCAATCAGCTAATTCAATCACGCAAAAATCCATGCTATTACAGTCGGATGCGAATCGTGAAATGTTTAAAACTCTCATTAGCGGTTTCCACACAAATAGTTTGCTGAATGCGATAAAAACCTTAAAAATCAACCGTGAGCTGGTGCTGCATTTAAACCAATTCTCGAAAAGTAAGTGGCAGCACGCAAAGATGGTACGCACATGGGAGCAGGTTACGGGGACTGAAGTGGCACAGCCCACTGGAAACAGCAAAATCTTTACTTTGTTGTCGTACAATATTCTTGCCCAAGACTTGTTAGTGGAACACCTGCACCTCTACATCGACATTGAGCCATCAAAGTTACGTTGGGACCATAGATTGTCACGATTATCGGATGAAATTCAACACATCAAACCTGATATTCTCTGTTTGCAAGAGATGCAATTCAACCATTTGCAATTGTTTGTTAAGCGTATAAGTTTCAAAAGGGAGTTGGAATATGTGTTCAAAAAGAAAACTGGCCATAGAACAGATGGCTGTGCCATTATTTATGATAAAAGTAAATTTCGGTTTCTGGCACAACAATCTGTAGAATATTATATTCATGGTCATACAGTATTGAATCGCGATAATGTTGCTATACTCGCCAAATTCGCAGATAAAAAACTGCCAGAAAATAAATTTGTGATAGCCACAACACATTTACTTTACAACCCAAAGAGACAAAACGTGCGCATAGCACAAGTGGAAGTGCTGCTGGCGGCCATTCAGAAATTCTCCGTGGAAAATGAAAACGGTAAAAGCACACTATTACCGGTTATATTAACGGGAGATTTTAATTTTGAACCCGAAACAAGACCATATCGATTGTTGTCTGAGCCCTTCCAACCTGCACAAAATTGGAGAATTTCTGGAGGAAAAGAAAGTAATAATAATTTGCAATTAGCACAAATAGATTTCGGTAAGAATGCTGCGTCGACGTTTCAACAGAATTGGATAACTGTGGATTACATTCTGCATTCAATTGATGAAAATCGCAAAAAGTTTCAAATACAATCGGTATACGCGCTACCGAAAATTACGGACTGTATGCGCACTGGCAAAATTCCTAATAAGTACTTGGGTTCGGATCACTATTCACTGGGCATCAAATTTTCAGTGGCATAATATTGGACTTTGCTATGTGAAGAATTGAATAAACTATATCGAGTTTGGATTTTTAAGATACAAAAATTTGAACTCATAGCTTGTGACTTTTCCTTTTAATTGGGTAGGCAGAAGGATATTCTGAATAAATTTCCAACTCGTGCAAACTTACCTGAAATGTTCTGACCGCATGATCATCACTAGCCTCCAACTTCGCGCGTATATTTCCGAGTATGTAGCCAAGCTTCGACATTGTTACATCTTGATCCAAATCGCCATGGTATGAGCGATATGTTTTCGTCTTCATGGATGTACTAAGCGTGCCTTGTTCACACGAAAGGCAGCTACTTTCCGCACAACCGCGGAGAGGAAAATTTAGCTTTCGTTGTGAGGCAGCGCGTGGAGCCTTTTTGGGCGGTGGATGAACTGTGCGCGAAAAATCAAAGTTTCGTGGCTCAGTTTCATTTGTATTTTGCGAGCAACTCGGTGTAGTAGTCTGCGTTGAAGTTTGTACAGCGGAATGATAGCTTCCTGGTGGTGATTGGGGCGTCATGCTTGGCTCGTATGGCTGCAATTCGTCCTGAGACGTTTGAATACCAATGCTGTGCGATGAATAGTTTCTTCGGCGCTGTATGTTATCCCGCTTGGGAGTGACTAAACGAAGAATTTTTTTCTTCGAACTACTTAGAAGCGTACGCGATGAAGATTTTAAATTACTTTTCAAAGCTCGATCTCCACTTTTCGTTTGTTTATTGCACCATGGTGAGATGTTACGCCATTGCTCACTCCAAATGAACTTTTGAGATTCACGCGTATTCTTTGGCGTTGACATGGGCGTTGACTTGACAGGTGTGCTTTTAGTTGAGATATTAGCAGCCAAATTGGAACATACACCATCGACTGTGTCCAGATTAACTTTCGGTGGTATTTGCCAGCCAACAGCTTGTTGTGGCTCAGCCTGTACAGCTTGAGATCTGAATTGGCGTTCCTTAGTGGTTGTGTTACAATTAAGCATATCTGTGATTTTTGGCTCTTTCCAACCGAAACTGAGTTCTTTTACTGGCTTTTCAGCTATCTGACGTATGTTTTTCTCATAATTGCTATACTTTTTGTTCGAATCAACGGCGGAGCGTTCGAGGTCGCTAAGTGAGGGACAAGATGGCAGTATATGCTGCCGCCGCGACTTTTCTGCGGTGAAGCCTAAAGGAGAACAACGGAAATTTTACACATTAGCCGAAATCGAAACAGAGAACTTCATTCATAAGTACTACAAAATGGACCAATTGACCAAATAGTTTTTTGAAAATTTTACTTTTTTATTTTTAGTGTTCAGAAAGATTAGAAGCTGATACAAAGTTAGTGCAACACTGATAGGCCAAGTACTACGTAAACAAGCGTTTTAAGCGAAGTTCTGCAAACAATACAAGGCTTATAAGAAATAAAACTGCAAAAAAGCGTTTAATAAAACAAAGAGCTTTATTCTATTTAGCCGCCAATATATTTCGGTCCCCATAATGTAAAAAAAAGTTGGAAATGCTAACACCAACAACCATGATCTACATATCTATTGCACTACTTTTTTTTATAAAAACAATTTCAATAAAACTTACTCGACGGGCAAGATTTGCGCTGTTCGCGCCTTCTCTCTGTGGCATACACCATTTTCTTCATATCAACCTGAGCCGCTTTATTCACCTTTTCCGCGCCCTTTGCTGCCTTTTTCTCAGCTTCTCTCACCATCGCACCTTTTCTGATCAAGAATTCGTCAAGTATACGCTCTGCTTCACGCAGTGACGGCGACGTAGAGCTCAAGGAAGATACTGCAGATGTTTCTTCAACGCACATATAGCTCCGTGGTGGTTTGGGCGGTGCTTGCAGTGACCGTCTGGGCTTAGAGTGCACCGACGATAAACTTAAACGCTTTTGTAGTAAACGTCCGCCTGCTTTATGTCTACGACGCCCACTATCAGTGTGCTTTGAACTGCTAGTAAGTGGTGTGGAGAATGTGAAAGCATCGGAAAGTGAATCCAATTCACTGATTTTATCTAGTACTGGCCCATGAAATGTGTCTCGCTTACTTTGTGCTTGCTTTTTAGCTAAAGTAAAACTTTCTAAGGGTGGTGCAGTGGGCTCATGTACGAGGCGTGTGGAATGTGGTTTTGTTTGTTTTTGTGGTGATAATTTGAACGCTTGTCCAACATTCGAGTTTTCAACAGTTTGGCTATTAGTTTGCAATTTGTGCTTGTTTACACGCACTTCAGAAATTACACAGTTATTGTGCAACTCTTGGATAATATGTATCAAAGGTGCATCGGCTGCACTAGTCTCTAAACGACTTATCGCCGTTAGCTCGTTTGCGTTAGTAGTAGCCTCTGTGGTTGTTTTGCGTTTTATTTTATCTTGTTTATGCTTTTGTGGTGAGGCTTGTGTCATTGGTTCAGCTGGTATTTTGAAGTTACCAGACAAGCTCTCGCGTCGAACATCTCTGTGGTCAGCTGGATTAACGTAGGTTTTCGGGAGAACTGTACTAAGCTATAAATGAATAAATACCAGCAAAGACATTGAGACTTGAAGTAGTAATTAAAAAATTATTATCACTTACTTCATTGCACTCAGAGCGCCTGTGACGCCTGAGCTGACGCACGTGTTCGGCACGTGTACCCGCTGCTGCGCACACACCGCCACCCTCCCCACTGTCGCTGGTGAAACAATAACAAAAACCATTGCGACATGGCTTGCACTTGCGTTCCTGCTCCTTATTGGAACGATTTTGACTGATTAAATCTGCGTCAGCTGGATCAGGTAACGCTTTCTTTTCACATCTTTCGGTCGCAAAGCCACTAGCCAGTTCTTCTGTTTGAGCTACTTCGCGGCTTTGGGTGGATAAGCGGCGAATACGGCGTGCACGAAACTCATTAATGCACTCCTGTAGGCTGAAGGAAGAGCAAGAGTTAGCTTCATCTTCTTCCTCTTCCACATCTTCAGAATTTGAGGTAGGCTCAATAGAGTAATCTAAATAAGGGTAGAAAATGTGCCATTTACGATATATGTATGTATGTGCATAAATGTATTTATTAATTAGACATATTTAATTGCTTTCACAGCATTTTTTATGCTTACCATCCAAATTCAGTTCCACGCCATCACCAGAATCGTTCAGCGCATTCACCAATACAGTTCCATCTTCATTTTGCTGATGTTGCACATTTACTACGGCTGTTGATTTTTTATTGGATTTTCTTATTTTCGGATTGGTCATAGTTTAACACAGAAATGCATTTGAGGCCGCCGCTCGACACGAAATGCAACAACTAGATTTCACTCAGACTTACAACTCTCCAACTGTACAATTTTTTTTTTTAACTGCAATTCCCCTCTTCATAAGCGGCTTATCTCATAAGTGCAATATAGGGATGATACGTTGCACAATGCAATTGCATCAAACGAGTTTGACTACACTTTTCAAATGGATTTCAAATGCCGTCTAAAACGTTGTTCGTCGTTATCACTTATCACCCACTAGCCGTGGGAAAGACAGTGCGGCGCCGCGCCATTGCGCTGATACCGAGAGCTGAGTTACTGGCACCGATACCGATTGTCACAACTCAGTGACGCAATGGCGCCAGCAACACCGGAAGCAGCCCAAAAATTACACCAATGCTACCCATGAACCAACGACTACAGATCACCTAATCAGCCATCGTTGTATTTGTAATCGATTTTCAGAAAAAAGTTTTCGTAGCGTTTTTGACGTTTTTCGGGTTTGTTTACATCGTCTTCTACCTCTTCGTAGTGATTTTTTAGCGATTGAATGTGTTTTCTGCAGCGATTTTAATTATAAATTTTGGTTTATTACATATTTATGATATAAAATAAAGTGCTGTGTGGTCGGAACAAGTTTGTGCGTATGTTTGGTTTGCCAAAAGGCGTAAATTTGCGTGAAAAGTGGGTGCACGTTTGTGGCCAGAACGGTGGCATTGAAAAATCGACCCGTGGTAATGATATGCGATTGTAAAACACTTTCAATCATGAAAACCATATTTTATGAACTTTTTTTGCTAATTGTCATCAAGTTTCACTTTGTATATTTTATAATAAATACCAATTTAATCGCACTCAATCACCGCGCCTTTTTCGTTTTCTTTGTTTGTTTTCATTCTTAGGCAGATGTCAAAAACACTCAGAAATATACTTTTTTCTTGCTTCTTTGATTAGGTGATCTTGTATTTTTGGTTCATGAATGCTACCCATACATTTTAATGGGCTAGCGCACACTTGCACGATTCCGTCGCTGCGAATTTTTCGAACATTCAATGTTCTTCTCTATTGACGCGTTCGAAACGCGGCTTGCAGCGTTTTGAAGGCGTCAAAGAAGAAGAAGAAAGGTGTCACAGCAATAAAGGCAAAGAAAACAAAACGTGTAATGTACAAAAACTAATAAAAACGTTCGTAATAATAGTATTTTGTACGATTTGGGCACGCCGAGTGCGAAAATACACGAAATAAAGGGAAAATTGAGTGAATTGTACATCGGAAATCGACGCGAAAAAATCGCTCAAGTGTGCGCACGTTTGCGGATTCGAAGTTAACAGCCGAATTCGCAACGTATTCGCAACGATGGAATCGCGCTAATGTGCGCTTCGCTTAACATGTGCAGGACAAGGCAAATTTTTACAAGGTGGTGTTGCTAAAATTAGCCGCAGTCCTTCTGAATGTGAAAATTATGTGTTTGTTGTATTTTTGGGTTTTGAAATTGGGTATACTTGAGTTGCTTTTGCCCAACTGATACCACCTTGTATTAATTCACCTTAGTTCAACACCGGGTGTCGCAAAGAACCAGCGAAGAACACCCGAAATAGAAGTGTCTCTTGTAAAATGTGCAGCACAAGGCGAATTTATACAAGGTTCGTCGCGGTCCTTCTGAATGTGAAAATTATGGGTTTGTTGTATTTTTGGGTTTTGAAGTTGGGTATACTTTAGTTTTTTCTCAACCGATATAACCTTGTATTAATTCACTTTGGTGCAGCGTGCAGCAATAAAGGAAATGAGCTTTAGCCTGAAGAGGCGCCATTGCGCCAACACACTGTGCTGGTTCCGACATTGGCGCTGGAGTTAGTGTGTCAGCGCCAAAAGATTTGCGCCGTTACCCAGGCAACAAAATGCTTTAAAATGTGTTGTCATGTTGAATTAACTCTTATTTACTTGAATAAAAGTGTAAAATAGTGGTGCTTGTGATGTAAACAAACGCTCAGCTGACGAACCCGCTTTCGCAAACTTTTTTCTCAAAACCAGTTACAAATACAATGTCGCGTTCTTACGTGATCTTGTATTTTTGGTTCATGTGATCTCAACCTTCCAGACAAGGTAGTGTTACTGGCGAATGAAGTTTTCGCCGCAGTACTTGCTAATGTTAAAATAAAGTTAAAATGATTTGTTTGTTGTAATATGAATTCGCCCTCTTTACAACAAACACATCATTCTGACATTAGGAAGTACTGCGGCGAAAACCTAAATTCGCCATTAACTCCCATGATTCAATAATTATTATTAGGTGCGTTCGTTTAAAATCTCCAACAGAAACCAACCAACTGCCAAATTCCGGCGAAATGTCATCTGTTCGCTCACAAGAGAGAAATATCCAAAATAGTACGCGAACAGAAAATTTGCAGAAACTTGCAAGTTAGACGAACAGCTGATATAATTTTTGTTTATAAACAAAAGTGTAAAATTTAAAACGTACGAAAAGTCATCGCAAAGTGTTATACTGACACAGTTTATTGATTAAACAAATAACTACTTATTTCTTACAAGTTTAATTAGTCGCATTTTGTAATTTTTATCTTCCAAACCATCAAATTAAATTTTGTGATTTGCGTAAATGCCAACCAGCTGTTTTTGATCAGCTGTTTCCCTGTTGGCAAATTGCTGTTGGCAAAAATTTTTCCAACAGAAACTAACAGCTTCCCCTCAAAATGAAATGTCACTTTGCTCTCTCAATTTCCCCTACTTTGCAAGTTTTTGTACGCGAACGCAAAAACCTGTAAGTTTTGGTTAAACATGAACAATTAACAGCTACGCGAACGAACCTATTATTGAATCATGGTATAAATTCGCCTTGCTGCCAGACTTAACTCGCTGACTTCAGCGAGTTGTCGCCTTATAGATTTACATTCTTTGTCGCGTTTTTACGTGATCTTGCATTTTTTGATCATGAGAAAATGGACACATGGGGAAAGACTTTTGTATCGCGGAAATCCGAACGCAGCTCGAGTGAAATGACTCGACCTGTCAAATGTTATTTGATGGAGAGTGGGGTGAAGACGCAATAAAGAAGAATTAACACAACGCTAAATTGTTGACGGAATTTTTGGAGGCCATTGCCATTGTTTTTCCATAGTTTCCCTTTGTTGATTAATTTTTTCAGTGGTATTTTGCACTAAATATATACTATGGTTGCAGTGCACTCGTGATGTTATTTGTGCTTTATTAAATTTACGATTTATTTGTATTTTTCATACTGTGTACGTAGCAAAAAAAAATTGTGATGCTTTCGCAAACGCTCAGCCGTCCACATATCTGCTCCCACAACACTACCTCCCAACACCAACATTTTCCTTTGCAACAAACGTCAACTAACTGCGATGTCTTTACGTGCAATTAAGAAACGCGAGAACCAATATAATTCCCCAGCTGTAGTGCGCCAGCCGCTCTTTAGAAAAGCCTACACATCGGCAATTCAACGCAAGCCACACTCGACAGCAAGTGGTTACAACAGTGATAATACATCGAATGCTAACAATATTGCCATTTTGAAACAACCAGACAGTTTACGTAGATTTCGCAACTTGCAAAATCAACGCACGCTACTTGGCCGCGCTATATATTCCAGCCCGGAACTACGTCGCCCATCAAACGACGACGATACGGTTGAGAGCCTCGCGCATGTGGTGCGCACCAAATCCGATGGCGATTTGCGTGCTTTGCTAAAAAGTTGTACAGGTAACGCGGCAGACACCGCTGGACGTGGTTTAATTGGTGCTAAGTCGGAGGTGTGCTTGCAGTCAATATCATCGCACAGCTATCAAGAAGAAAGTCAAACGACACAAATCTCTACATCAAGTTATCCACGCTTGGAAGCTTCAGCTGAACGACGATCACCAGTTTCAGAGCCTATAGCCGTGTCACAACTAACTAGGAAGAGTCTCACCTCCACCGGTAATATGATGTCCGGCGCACGTTCACACCGTGACCTCACACAATCAACTTATGCCGGCAATAGTAGTACGTATGACGTCACAGTTTCATCAACCCGTCGGCGTTTGAGCGAATGCAGCATAAACTCAAGTTATTCACAACGCACCAGTGCTATGTCCAGTAGCGTTTTGACGCTATCATCCAATAATCCAGCCGCAAACGAACCTAACTCTGTGATGCGTGTGCCTATAATCGGATATGAGGTAATGGAGGAGCGAGCACGTTTTACAGTGTACAAGCTACGGGTGGAGAATCCATTGACCAACGAATGCTGGCTAGTGTTGCGCCGTTATACAGATTTTGTGCGCTTGAATACTAAACTTAAACAACTTTTCCCAAACATTGTGCTACTGCTGCCGCGCAAGAAAATATTTGGTGATAATTTCAATGCTGTCTTCCTGGATAACAGGGTACAAGGGCTGCAAATATTTGTTAACTCCATTATGGCCAAAGAGGAGTTAAGGAAATGTAAGCTGGTGCGCGAGTTCTTTTGTTTGGATGAACCGCCTTCATATTCTGAATCTATGGAGGAGTGTAGGGTAGGATGGATACAAATTATTTAAATAGCTTCTTATTTTAAAATATAATTTTGATTGCAGGCAATTTTCGAAGCACAAGAAGAAACAATAGCTCATCTGAAAGCGCAAGTAAATAGTAAAAACGAATTGATATTAAATTTACAACAAAAGTTACGTGATGAAATTGCGGAAAAAGAGACACTCAAGTAAGTCAATGCTAAAAACAATATTGCAAAAATGTTATCAATTTGATTGTATTTTTTATATTTCTTTTTTTTAAGAAACGCTACCAGTAATTGTCAACGCTGTAGTGGTGCAAATCCGGGTGCTATTTAAAGGTGGTAAAATGCACAACAAAATAGCAAAAATTAAGAGATTTAATTTTAATTGTTATCATAATAATGCTGATGATATGGTTCCGTGTGTTATGCTAAGCTTAGCACGCGGTAATAACCAAATGCAATCGAAAAGAAGATATTCTGCTGCTATAAGAGCAAAATAAAACTTCGACAAAGTTGGAGATTGTTTTTGTTAAACTGGGGGGAGATTCTGTAACCAGTTACCGACAATTTTCGAATCGCTATCGCACTTTTTGACGCAAAAACATTATATCATGCGTCAAAAATATCGTGATCCAAAAATTGTCGCTAACTGGTTACAGAATCTCGCTCCTGATTAACGTAGGCGAATGTTAAACAAAAATGTGAAAAATAATATAACATCTCAGTAAAATTCTGTTCCAGAAAATTGAA